GCTAGAAGGAGAAAGTTTAGGGAAATATGTACTAATACCCTTCACAGGCTGAGGCAGGGCCAGCATCTCCCCTTGAGAGTAGAGGTGGGCAGTGCTGGGTGGGAAAGGCTTTCATTCCCAATTCTCATATTTGTCTGTGCTTTTAAAATTTTATTTTATTTATTTAGTTTTAGAGACAGGGTCTTGCTCTGTCACCCAGGCTGGAATGCAATGGTGCCATCATGGCTTATTGCAGTCTCAAACTCCTGGGCTCAATGGATCCTCCCTCCTCAGCCTCCCAAGTAGTGGGGACTACAGGCACACACCACCACCAGGCTGGCTAATTTGTGCTTATTTTTACAGAAAGAATGTCTCCTTGTTTTCAGCTCCAGATCCCCCTGTCTCTAAGTTAGCTCAGCAAATATTTACTAATATTTACCATAATACTTAAGCTACCATTTAGTGAGCATTTAAAAACACTTTCCATACCCCACTGCTCACTCTCGGCTCCCTTAAGGAAAGGGAGAGGCAGTTCGTTTTATGGGTGAGCGAATGAAGCTGGGAGACATTCAGTTACTCATTCCAGCCCTTGCACGGCGAAGGAGAGAAGACCCAGACACTTTATCTGAGGAAGGTAGAAGGATATGAGAAAGAACAAAAAATAGTCTCTATCCTCAAGGACCTGACAATGAAATGCAGCATTAATGGCAGACAAAGCAGTGGACACATGCCCCGGTGGTGTTTCTTTGCAGGGTGCTGCTGTGGGAGGGTAGGGGACAGAATCGCTATTTCTGTCTGAGTGGGAGTCTTCCTTGATGGGTGACTGGGGACTGGGCTGTGTGTTTTTTTTGAGATGGAGTCTCGCTCTATTGCCCAGGCTGGAGTGCAGTGGCGCGATCTTGGCTCACTACAACCTCCACCTTCTGGGTTTAAGCGATTCTCCTGCCTCAGCCTCCCAAGTAGTTGGGACTGTAGATGTGCGCCACCATAAGCGGCTAGTTTTTGTACTTTTGGTAGAGATGCGGTTTCACCATGTTGGCCAGGGTGGCCTCGATCTTCTGACCTCAAGTAATCCGCCCACCTCCGCCTCCCAGAGTGCTGGGATTACAGGCATGAGTCACCGTGTCTGGCCTGGGCTGTGTCTTCAAGGCTATATTCTTTTTCTTGGAGAGCAATAGAGCATGGCCAGCCTGAGCCTGTTTCAGGTGTTGGGAGACAGGAAGCCCAGGCAGGGAGACAGAGTGGCAGGAGTGGGGAGGTCAGGCAGAGTCACACGGGGTTCCTGATGGGAGCCTGAGTCTGGGAGTCCGGAGGGTCTGGTCTTTGGAAGGAGGGGTAGATAAGAGCTAGGGAGTGTTAGGCAGGGCCCCGGATAAGGGAGCGCAGATAAGGTAGAGGCAGAGCCCACCCTATAGATTAACAGGGCCAGGCCACAGAGGCCATTCTGACCCTGTGAAGCCTCCGGGGCAGGCCACTGCCACCAGAGCCCCGAGCTGGGGTGCAGATGGCCTGACCCTAGTGTGTGTGTTTCAAGGGGGGTGCTGACCCCTGCTTCCATCAGAGCTGAGAGAGCAGGAAAGCTGCAGCCCATAGATAAGGACTCTGTGGAGAGATCCTGGGTGAGGACTGGGGAGGCCAATGCCTGGGGCAGCCAGCCCAGAGGCAGCAAAAACCAAGTATGATGGGGGAAGAGGCAGTGCCGTGTTGTCACAGCAGTTTGGCAGAGGGTAGTGTGAGTAGCTGAGATGCTAAAAACAGAGGGTAGAACCAGCCAGTGAAGGGCTTTCACTACCAGATATTGAAGTGTTGACAGGGGGAAATGATTGTTTTCTGAGCCCCAGAATCATATGATCAAACCTATAGTCCGTCGTGCTCACTAGAACGTGAGCTTCCCAAGGCAAGGAGTTCGTCTAGTGTTCCCTGTGTATTCCCAGCACTGAGCACAGCATCAGTCACTTAGCAGCTGCCAGGTTGATATTTAATAGATGTGTTTCATAGATATGTACAACCACAATATATACAATGTTTATGGATATATATATATATGTTATGTAGTAAGCATTTTAAAACTTTGATGAGAATACACACTAATGATCAACGGAGTGGTTACTTTGGGGAAGAGAGGAAATAGGATTGAGATAGAATACAAAAGGGATTTCAGCTATGTCTGATTTTTTTTCTTATAAAGAAGAACTGGGACCAGGCGCGGTGGCTCACGCCTGTAATCTCAACACTTTGGGAGGCTGAGGTGGGTGGATCACTTGAGGTCAGGAGTTTGAGACCAGCCTGGCCAACATGGTGAAACCTCGTACTACTAAAAATACAGAACAGCTGGATGTGGTGGTGGGCACTTGTAATCCCAGCTATTCGGGAGACTGAGGCAGGAGAATCACTTGAACCCAGGAGACAGAGGTTGCAGTGAGCCGAGATTGTGCCACTGCACTTCAGCCTGGGTGACAGGGTGAAATTCTGCCTCAAAAAAAAAAAAAAAAAGAAGAAGAACTGGGCTGGGCATGGGGGATCATGCTTGTAATCCCAGCACTTTGGGAGACCAAGGCTGGAGGATCGCTTTGAGTCCAGGAGTTTGAGACCAGCCTGGGCAACATAATGACACCTAGCTTCTACAAAAAAAAGTTTTTTTTAATTAGCCAGGCATGGTGGTGAATGCCTGTAGTCTCAGCTACTCAGAAGGCTGAGGTGGGAAGATTACTTGAGCCTGGGAGGTTGAGGCTGCAGTGAGCTATGATCACATCACTGCATTCCAGCGGGGGCAACAGAGTAAGACTCCGTCTCAGATAAATAAATAAATAAATAGAAAAATGGAAGAAAACATGACTGTAAACATCTGTTAAATGTGAGTGGTCAGTACATGGGCTCCTATAATATTTGTCTTCATAATTTAAAAAACATTTCTTACTTTTAAAAAGAAAATAAATGTATGCACCATTTTTTAAAAATGTCCAGAATATCTCTTTCTCCAGTAGATGGCTGTGTTGAGGCCTATGGTTTCTTAAGATTACAAACAAGCCTAGGCAATTCTCTTGAGGTAGACCCTTCGTGGGCTTCCAAATTGTCAGCGGCTGGAGTCAAAGTGCCACTCTAAAATAATGAAGCTAAGCTTGGTTTGCTTCCTTATATTCTTGACGCCTATAGTTCAGAGTGATTATTTATTTATTTATTTATTTTTATTTTTATTTTGAGACAGAGTCACTCTGTTGCCCAGGTTGGAGTGCCGGGGTGCAATCTCTGCTCACTGCAACCTCCGCCTCCCACGTTCAAGTGATCCTCCTGCCTCAGCCTCCCGAGTAGCTGGGATTACAGGCACCCACTAACATGCCTGGCTAATTTTTGTATTTTTAGTAGAGATGGGGTTTCACTATGTTGACCAGGATGGTCTCAAACTCCTGACCTCAGGTGATCTTCCCACCTCAGCCTCCCAAAGTGCTGAGATTACTGGCATGAGCCACCATGCCAGGCCCAGAGTGATTATTTATAATATCATTGTGCTTAGATTATGGTTCTTGGTGGAGGATCTCAACACTTCTTTCCAGTGGTGACATCGTACTATGTAAGTCCTGGCTCACCCCTCAAATGTAACATTGTAGCCTTGTGCATTTTGATTCTTAGTGGCCTCAGGGTAAAAAAAAAATACATTGTACACTCAGAGAGTGAGTCCAAGCTCCACCTCCTACTTGTAGGACCTGTTGATTCACTCAACCACCTTGAGTCCCAGCTTGCTCAATAGGAGGGGTAGATGACGGCTACTTCTCAGTGACTGAGAGGATTAAATCAGATAATATAGTGTGTGGAGTCTCCTGAGACAGAGCCTGGTACACGGTAGATTCCCAAACTGCATTAACTGTCTTCCGATTGAAGGCTTTGTACAACCCAGCCTTTGTTCTCTTTCCCCTTACACCCCAACCATGTCCATTTTTCAAGGCGTATTCGACTGTATCTCTCCCATGAAATTGTTCCTCACAGCCCAATGGCTCACGTCACTGACTGCTTGATAATCATAGTTCAGAATTAGCCAGGTGTGGTGGCACATGCCTGTCGTCCCAGCTACTCAGGAAGCTGAGGTGGGAAGATCACCTGAGCCCAGGGAGGTCGAGGCTGCAGAGAGCTGTGATGGCACCACCGCGCTCCAGCCTGGGCGACAGAGCAAGACCGTGTCTCAAAAAAATTTTGTTTAAATCATAGTTAATTTTTCATCCATTTATTTATTTATTTTTGCCTCCTCAGATAATAAAGCCTTTAAAAGTAAGAATGCGGACCGGGCGTGGTGGCTCACACCTGTAATCCCAGCACTTTGGGAGGCTGAGGCGGGTGGATCACGAGGTCAGGAGATTGAGACCACCCTGGCTAACACGGTGAAACCCCGTCTCTACTCAAAAAACAAAAAAACTAGCTGGGCGTGGTGGCGGGCGCCTGTAGTCCCAGCTATTCGGGAGGCTGAGGCAGGAGAATGGCATGAACCCAGGAGGCGGAGGTTGCAGTGAGCCGAGATGGTGCCACTGCACTCCAGCCTGGGCAACAGAGCCAGACTCTGTCTCAGGAAAAAAAAAAAAAAAAAGTAGGAATGCCAGTTCAAGTGTCATTGCAGTCATTGGAGAAAAGCCCACCAGAGTGGAAGATTGACATCTTGGGTTAAATTCTGTTAGGTCAACTTGGGATTCCAGGTAGCTTTGGGGACTTTGGTTTCACCAGTAAAATGGCAACAGTAACCCACCTCACATAGTTTCAAGAGATTGATCCAGATATTTGAAGGAGTTGAGTAAATATTGTTGAATAAATTTAAACCGTTTTGAAAAACAAAGTTCATTTACAAATGTCAGGTATTAGTATGAAATTCCTCCCCCCGCCACGGTATCTAATAATGGGGTTTGTATTTACTTGCTGCCAAGAGAAACTGCATGCTTGAATATTCTACAGTCATCCAGATAAAGACGAAAAGAGGCATCAAGTAGCAATAATAAGGATTTATCTAATTTTAAACAAAACTTCTTCTTTTTTCTCATCAGGATCGAGATGACCACAGCCACTCCTCTGGGGGATACCACCTTCTTCTCCTTGAACATGACCACCAGGGGAGAAGACTTCCTGTATAAGAGTAAGGTCAACTTGGCTTGGAGGCTTGGGGAGGGATGGCAGGTCATGGTCATAGTACAGAGGTTAAGAGTGTGGGCTCCCGAGGTGGAGTGCCTGGGTCTCAGGCCCAGTTCTGCCACCAGCCAACTGCAGCATTAATGGCAGACAAAGCAATGGACACGTGCCTCAGTGGTGTTTCTTTGCAGGGTAGTGCTGTGGAAGGGTGGGGGACAGAATCGCTATTTCTGTCTGAAATAGCGAGTGGGAGTCTTCCTGGGGGGACAACTGGGGACTGGACTGTGTCTCTTTTTTTTTTTGAGACAGAGCACATGACTTTCCTGCTCTGTGCCTCCTTTTCCTCATCTATACAATGGGGATATTAAAGAAGCTGCCACATAAGGCAGTTGTGATGACTAAAGGAGATAATCCAGGTCGACAGTTTAGCACGGCCTCTGATACATACTAAGTACCTAAGATGATGATTATTGTTATTACTACTGGCTGGGTGTGGTGGCTCACACCTGTAATCCCAGCACTTTGGGAGGCTGAGGCAGGTGGATCACTTGAGGCCAGGAGTTCAAGACCAACCTAGGCAACATAGCAGGACCCTGTCTTTACAAAAATTGTTTTAAAAATTAGCTTGCATGGGGCATGTACCCATGGTCCCAGCTACTCAGGTGGCTGAAAAGGGAAGATCACTTGAGCCTGAGAGTTCAAGGCTGTAGTGAGCTATGATTGTGCCATTGTACTTTAGCCTGGATGACAGAGCAAGACCCCACCTCTAATAATAAATAAATGGTGGTATAATATTTTATTCTATAGGTTGCCATACCTTATTTAACCATTTGCATATTTAGAATATAAATATTGTCATAATAAACATCTTCATTCATAAACATTTTCTGTATTTAGGATTATTCCTGTAAGATAAATTCTCCAGAATCAAATAGATTGCTTTAAAGTATAAACATGCTTATGATTCTTGATATTTTCTTTTTTTTTTTTTTTTGAGACGGAGTTTTGCTCTTGTCACCCAGGCTGGAGTGCAATGGTGCAATCTTAGCTCACTGCAACGTATGCCTCCGGGGTTCAAGCGATTCTCCTGCCTAAGCCTCCTGAGTAGCTGGAATTATAGACTCTTGACACCAGGTCTGGCTAATTTTTGTATTTTTAGTAGAGACGGGGTTTCTCCATATTAGCCAGTCTGGTCTCGAACTCCTGACCTCAGGTGATCCGCCTGCCTTGGCCTCCCAGAGTGCTGGGATTACAGGCGTCAGCCACCGACCACAGCAAGCGGTTCTTGATATTTTCAGTATCAATTCTGACAAGGATGTTGATCTTGAAACTAAAATTGGAGGCCAGGTGTGGTGGCTCGCACCTATAATTCCAGCACTTTGTGAGGCCGAGACAGATGGATCACTTGAGGTCAGGAGTTCAAGACCAGCCTGGCCAACATGGTGAAACCCAATCTCTACTAAAAATGCTAAGATTAACCAGGTGTAATGACAGGTGCCTGTAATCCCAGCTACTCAGGAGGCTGAGGCAGGAGAATCGATTGAACCTGGGAGGCAGAGGATGCAGTGAGCTGAGATTACGCCACTGAACTCTAGCCTGGGCAACAAGAGTGAAACTCCCTCTCAAAAAAAAAAAAACAAGAAAGAAACTAAAATTGAAGTGTGACATTGGAACTGGGAACTAATATTGAAATTAGAGTCTAAGACATTAAGCTACACGAACATCATCACAGCCTTGTTTTTAACAGTGAAAAACTGAAAACAACCTAAGTATTCTCAATAGAGAATTGGTGAACAGATTGTGGTACACCAAAAAAAATGGAGTACTATGCAGCCATGGAAAGTCATGAAGAAAAATATATAATTAAACAGAAAGATGATTATGATTTGTTATAAAACAGTATGTGAACCATGGTTCCTTTTTTTGTTTGTTTTTGAGATGGAGTCTTGCTCTGTTGCTCAGGCTGGAGTTCAGTGGCACGATCTTGGCTCACTGAAACCTCTGCCTCCCGGGTTCAAGCAATTCTCCTGCCTCAGCCTCCTGAGTAGCTGGGATTACAGGTGCACACAACCACACCCGGCTAATTTTTGTATTTTTAGGAGAGACAGGGTTTCACCATGTTGGTCAGGCTAGTCTCGAACTCCTGACCTTGTGATTTGCCCTCCTTGGCCTCCCAAAGAGCTGGGATTACAGGTGTGAGCCACCGCGCCTGGCCATGGTTCCATTTTTACCAAGTACATATTTTTCCATATTTAGGAATATTTCCTTTAAGACATATTCAATCGTATAAGTATTAAATTATTTTTAAACTATAATGGATATTTTTTAAAAAATTTATAGAGATGGAGTCTTGCCATCTTGCCCAGGCTGGTCTGGAATTCCTGGGATCAAGTGATCCTCACCCCTCAGCCTCACAAAGTACTGGGATTACAGATGTGAACCACTGCACCTAGCCAGATATTTATTTATGTATTTGTTTTTATTTTTTGAGATAGAGTCTTGCTCTGTCACCCAGGCTGGAGTGTGGTGGCACAGTCTTGGCTCACTGCAGCCTCAAACTTCCAGGCTCAAGAGATCCTCCCTCCTCAGCCTCCCAAGTAGCTGGTGCTACAGGTGCATACCACCACACCTCCCTAAGTTTTTATTTCTAGAAACAGGATCTTGCTATGTTGCCCAGGCTAGTCTTGAACTCCTGGGCTCAAGTGATCCTCCCACCCCATCCTCTCAAAGTACTGGAATTGCAGGGATGAGCCACTGTGCCTGACTGATAGATATTTACTATGCATCAACATGATCACATTGGTGAATATTCATATACAGACAATCAGCAGTTGTTGGGCCAATGAGTTCTTCAATGACCCCCCCTCTTTTTTGCACATATTTATATTTTCAACATTATTTTCTACAAAAATCACATGCTACTTTTGCATTATCAAAAAGAGGGGAGGGCTGGGTGCGGTGGCTCATGCCTATAATCCCAGCACTTTGGGAGGCCGAGGCGGGTGGATCATGAGGTCAGGAGATCGAGACTATCCTGGCTAACACAGTGAAACCCCGTCTGTACTAAAAATACAAAAAATTTAGCCAGGTGTGGTGATGGGCGCCTGTAGTCCCAGCTACTTGGGGGGCTAAGGCAGGAGAATGGCGTGAACCCAGGAGGCGTGCAGTGAGCCGAGATTGCGCCACAGCAGGCCACAGAGTGAGACTCCTTCTCAAAAAAAAAAAAAAAAAAAAAAGAGGGGAGGGTATGTTGCTTGTTTGTTTCCCAGAAGTTTGAGGTTTTTATTTCTAGAAACAGGATCTTGCTATGTTGCCCAGGCTAGTCTTGAGCTGGAGCTGATAAGAACCAGGACTTTGCCTAAGGCAGAGTTTTGGCAGACAATGTACTGATGACAGGGTCCTTCAAGCGCAGCTCGGGGCAGGGGTGCACAGCCACTCCAGATGTGACTGTCCTGGGCTCAACTGGGAGTGTCCCAGGACGTTGCCCTCTCTTCTGCTTCCCTTGACCCAGTGAGGATGTGAGGTGCCACAGCAGGGCGTCCTCCCAGTCTGCGTTCGGTTTGCACGTTCACGGTCTCTGCTTCTCTCCTTTCTGTAGGTTCTGGAGCCATTGTTGCTGCCGTTGTGGTCGTTGTCATCATCATCTTCACCGTGGTTCTGATCCTGCTGAAGATGTACAACAGGTACGGATGCCCTGGGTTTTGGAACTGCCTGGCCCCTTCAGCGACTTCAGAATACATGGGAGATGATACGTGGGTGCCCACTGTGTACCTGGCAGTATCCCTGAGCCTTTAGTAAATGGTCTAACCCTTGGGGTCCTTTTTGAGTCTGTTCTGTTGAAGGAATTTCAAAGCGACTATTTTTGTACTTGGAGAAATATTTTTTAAATGTAATAATGATAATGACAATGATAATGGTCTTGAGCACTGTGGTAAACATTTGTTTGTAATTTACAGATAATAGAGGAATGTTCAGACCTCTTCTCTCAGAGATCCCTCTGCTAGGTTGTATGAGCTGGCCACATAAGTATTTGAGATGACAAATACTGGAAGCATGTACCCTGACTCTGCTTTCTGGAGACATATAAGGGGAAATAAAAGAATATAATTTGATCACACGAAAAATAAATTTTATATCTTATCACCTTATGTGTAATTACCTTCAGTCGCAACCTTGATGGAAGGTATTATTTCCAGGGAAGAAATCAAAATTTAAAAACTATAAATAAAACATATTATAGAAGACCTAGAAGCCATTTCTTTACAAAGATATCATGGCCAGGTGTGGTGGTGTGATATGTAATCCCAGATACTCAGAAGACTGAGGCAGGAGGATGGCTTGAGTCCAGGAGTTTGAGTCCAGCCTGGGCAACACAGCAAGACCCTTTCTATAAAAATATATTTGCATATGTATACACATATATATGTATTAGAAGTGCACGGATTAATAAGGAAAGCTGTTTACAATATATTATCAAAGTTTACAAAACAATATATACATGGTGATCACGATCATACACATAGGTTACCTATACACATATCCAAGGGAGAGCAACACAGCAAGGTCTTAACAACTGGTGCGTCTACATGATGACCTTGTTAGTTTTTGCTGGGAGGGGGATGTTCCTAAGTTTTGAGGAATAGTAAACACGCATTGTTTTTATAAGAATATGAATATTATTTGTAAAGGTAGCTGCTAGGTGTGGTGGCTCTGCCTGTAACCCCAGCTAGTCAGGAGGCTGAGGCAGGAGGATCACTTGAGCCCCAGAGTTTGAGACCAGCTTGGGCAACATAGCAAGACCCTGTCTCTGGGAAAAAAAAAAAAAAAGTTTTTAAAATAAAAGTAGCTAGGCCGGGCGTGATGGCTCACACCTGTAATCCCAGCACTTTGGGAGGCTGAGGCGGGAGGATCACGAGGTCAGGAGTTTGAGACCAGCCTGGTCAACATAGTGAAACCCTATCTCTACTAAAAATACAACAAATTAGTTGGGCATGGTGGCGGGTGCCTGTAATCCCAGCTACTTGGGAGGCTGAGGCAGGAGAATCGCTTGAACCCGGGAGGTGGACGTTGCAGTGAGCTGAGATCGCACCACTGAACTCCAGTCCAGATGACAGCGTGAGACTCTGTCTCAAAAAATAAATAAATAAATAAATAAATAAATAAATAAATAAATAAATAAAATAAAGGTAGCTAATGTATATTGATCTCATACCACATGCCAGGCATGGTTCTAAGCTCCTTACATGTGTTAATGCATTTAATCCTCATCTAACAACCTCACAAGGTGGATACTACTATTATCCTCAATTTTGTAGGTATAGAAACACATACAGAAAGATTAAATCGTATGCCCAAGGTTGTTCAGCCCTGATTAGCACAACTGGGATTCAAACCTAAGTTCATCTGGCTTCGAAGAAAAGACTCCCACAATTACATGTAATAATAATAACATTAAAAGGTTATTTAAAAAATATATATTTAAGGTATTACAATTTGGGTCTATCCCAAACCAGAAAGTGGCATCAAACCCCAATGTCTACCCTTTATTTCCCTCCATTGTTACTGGAGCTCTGAACCTCTTTTTTAGGTCGTATCTGAATGGAGAATCCACTCAACCCACCCTGTTTGCACTGAGGCCTGGGCTGGGAATTGAGAAACCTGGGTTCAGTAGTCTTTGGTTTGTCAAAATCAAGCAAGTTATTTAACCTCCTCCTGCCTATATGTTGTCATGTTTAAAATGAAGAGTCTCAAAGCTTGAGAATTGCATTATAGATACATTGGAAAATGTCTTTGTTCTTAGGAGCATTTAGGAGTGAAGTGGCATGATTCCTGCAACTCACAAATGGTTCATGGTTTTAAAAAACCGTGTGTGACAATAGAGAAAGATAAAGTAGTAGAGAGAAAAAAAGCAGATGTGACAAATTGTTAGTAATTAGTGAATTGTTCAGCAAAGGGCTGTCTTAGACCATGCTGTGCTGCTATCACAGACTATCTGAGACTGCGTAAATTATACAGAAAAGAGATTTATTTCTTGCGGTTCTGGAGGCAGGGAAGTTTAAGATATTGAGGAGCCAGTATCTGGCAAGGGCCTTCTTGCTCTGTTATCCCACGATAGAAGGGCAAAGAGAGAGCAAGAGATCAAATTCACAGCCTATGAAGTCCTTTTATAATTGGCACTAATGGAGTCATGAGGTGGAGTCCTTATGACCTAAATACCTCCCGTTAGGCCCCACCTTTCAATACTGTTGAATTAGGGATTCAGTTTCCAATGCAGGCTTTTTGGGGACCACATTCAAATTGTAACAAGGGTATTAGAGTATTAACTGTACTATTTGTGCAACTTCCCTGAAGATCGGACATTTTAAACAAATAATTATAAGGCTGGGCACAGTGGCTCATGCCTATAATCCCAGTACCCCAGGAGGCCAAAGCAGGTGGATTGCTTGAATCCAGGAGTTCGAGACCAGCCTGGGCAACATAGGGAAACCCTATCGCTACTAAAAACACAAAAAGTTAGCCAGGCATGGGGGTGTGCACCTGTAGTTCCAGCTATTTGGGAGGCTGAGGTGGGAGAATCACCTGAGCCTGGGATGTTGAGGCTGTAGTGAGCTGAGATTGCGCCACTGTACTTCAGCCTGGGCAACCAGGGTGAGACTCTGTCTCAAAAAATATATATATGTGTGTGTGTGTGTGTATGTATGTGCATATATATATATATATGTGTATATATATGTCAGCAAGATGAACTATGAAGACATGAGAATTCATAATTGTTGGCCAGGCATAGTGGCACACACCTGCTATCCCAGCACTTTGGGAGGCCAAGCAGGAAGGATCACTTGCCCGCTGTTCAAGACCAGCCTGGCCAACATGGTGAAACCCCATCTATACTAAAAATACAAAAATTTGGCTGGGTGCGGTGGCTCATGCCTGTAATCACAGCACTTTGGGAGGCCGAAGCAGGTGGATCACCTGAGGTCAGGAGTTGGAGACCAGTCTGACCAACATGTTGAAACCCCATCTCTAATAAAAAATACAAAAATTAACTGGGCATGGTGACAGGCGCCTGTGATTCCAGCTACTTGGGAGGCTGAGGCAGGAGAATCACTTGGACCCAGGAGGCGGAGGTTGCAGTGAGGCAAGATCGCTCCACTGTACTCCAGTCTGGGTGACAGAGCGAGACTCTGTCTCAAAAAAAGAAAAAAAAAGAATTCATAATTGCTATTCATTATTGAATTTTATAGCATATTAAATGAAGCCAAGATATATGTTTTAAGTACATTCTCTTTTCAACTATGTAAAAAATTCTTAAATATTTCTAGCAATAAACTTAGCAAGCATAATGAGGCTGGAAAATGTAACACATGCTACAACTTGGAACATAAAAAAATGTAATATCTTTATTTTTATCTTTTATATAGCCACCTCTGACATTTTACTCATTCCTTAATAGAAACAAATACAATTAAATATCTGATCTAAGTGGAAAAATTGAAGGGCAGACCAGCTGATGCCTAAGGTCCCTTCCAGTTGTAAAATTCTGTGGCGGCAAGTAAGCAACGTGATTTAATGTCCATGTTAATCTACATTAATCTGTTGGCCAGAACTGTAGTCACAGAGCTCATTCCCCCATGGCATACCATGGGAAAGACTCAACCATGTGCACACTATCTCCCTACAGGAAAATGAGGACGAGGCGGGAACTGGAGCCCAAGGGCCCCAAGCCAACCACCCCTTCTGCCGTGGGTCCAAACAACAACGGCAGCCAACACCCTCCAACTGTGACCTTCAGCCCTGTTGACGTCCATGTGGAGACTCGGTGACCTCTACCCCGGCGCTATCTCCGCCACTGTCCAAAGAGCCTCTCCAGAGTCAAGACCCAGAGGCACACTCTCTGGCAGCTTCAAGCTGAGTTTCTTCTGGTCGGGTCGCCAGAGACATCTTTGACGTAATCTCTGATGCTTCCAGCAATCCTCAATCTTGTCTGCCCTGCCCTCCCCCAGCCATGTCCACATCCTTGCTGCCACCCCACCAAAAAGCTGCAGAACGTTCTTTTGTCATCTGATGAGGGTAGAGCTATGTTGGGAATCCACCAATGTGGGCTTGGCTTTCCCCAACACTGTAGTTAGACAGATAGACAGATAGCCCAGGAGCCAGGTGTCAGGGAGCACTGCTGAGAGTATCACAATAGGATCTGTCACGGGGTTCATATCAGATGAAGCGCCGTATCCACAGCTTCACAGAGCAAAACATTCAATCCCATAACCAGGCACAGGGGAACTAACTTGGACTAACTAACCAGAAAACCTTGTTAATATATAACTTGTTCCAGTACTACATCTCCGCCTGCTGGCTCATGACGATTGCTCAGCACATATTCCCCTCTTGAAGAAAGGTTGCAAGAAGAACTAAATGATTCTCAAAAGATTTCTGCTTCATTAGTAAAGAGTGAATGAAGGAATAGGGTGACTCTGGGGAATAGTGGCCTCTAGGGTAAGAGCTTGTTGCGTTGTCCGTGGGCCTGGAACAATCCTCGTGGTTGATCAGGGTCCTTCTCCCACTCTGGGCTGTATCAACCCTGACTGTCTCAGTCCTTGGCTCCCCTTTATCTGGATTCTGAGCAACCCTGACTGTCCTGTTAATGCCTTGCCTCCAAGGACCAGTATTTGGAGATTAATTAGATTACGATTCTATCTATGTTACCTTTGTCCTTCCTGGTCACCTTGCAGATTCAAGACATGTGCAAAGCAACACATTCACAACCCATTTCTATTCTATAGAGACCTCATCTCTGACTCCTTAGCCTGGAGAACAATCTACCAAGAAGAGAAAGTATTTGGAATTAAGAAATCCTACCATCCAAGCTCTACTTCCTGGTTGTGTGACCTTGGAAAAGTGACTCAACCTCTTTATATTCAGTTTCCTAACCATGAAGTGGAAATGATAACATCTGCCTCACTATAACAAGTGAAGGACTTAGGAAAACATCTGAAGCATGGTGCCTGGCACCCAGGAGATGCTTAATAAGTGGGAACCAGGATTCTTTTTCTTTTTTTCTTTTTTTTTTTTTTTTTTTTGACAGAGCCTCACTCTGTCACCTGGGATGGAGTGCAGTGGGACGCTCACAGCTCACTGCAGCCTTGAACTCCTGGGTTCAAGGGATTCTCCCTCCTCAGCCTCCAGAGTAGCTGGGACTACAGGTATGTGTCACCTCACCAGGCTAATTTTTTTATTTTTTATTTTTGTAGAGATGGGGTCTCGCTGTGTTGCCCAGGCTGGTCTTGAACTCCTGGCCTCAAATGATCCTTCTGCCTTGGCCTCCCAAAGTGCTGGGATTACAGGCATGGACTACAGTGCCCAGCCTAGGAACCAACATTATTATTATTATTATAGGGTTTTTTTTCAATTGCAAGATAGACATTTCTTCACATTTTAATGATTCTGAAATCAGAACATACCTTGCAATTGATGGGTTCATTAATATAATTGTAGTTCTTTACTTCCTCTCAAAAAGTTGTTTTTAATAAATTATGTAATCTTATAATCGATGGCATCTTGGAAACAAGGTAATAAATCTCTATTCTGTTATAGAGAGTGACACACTTTGACATTTAACCTCAAATTTTAGGAGTCTCTCCCTCTTGCGGTCAGAAATCCCTTTTGAGGCTGGGTGTCATGGCTCATGTCTGTAATCCCAGCACTTTGGGAGGCTGAGGCGGGCGGATCACTTGAGGTCAGGAGTTTGAGACCAGGCTGCCCAACATAGCGAAACCCTGTCTCTACTAACAATACAAAAGTTAGCTGGGCATGGTGGCACGCACCTGTAATCCCACTACTAGGGAGGCTGTGGCATTAGAATCACTTGAACCTGGAAGGCAGAGGTTGCAGTGAGCCGAGATCGTGCCACTCTGGGCAACAGAGTGAAACTGTGTCTCAAAAAAAGAGAAATCCCTTATGAGGGGAAATCAAGAGTCAGGGAGGTAAGAGGTCTGACCCAGGGTCACACAGCTCATGACATCCCACTGGAAAAATACTCTGTGGAATAGCTCTGGACAAATACTGGCAAATTCCTTCTCCCTGGTCATGATTTCTTCCTACTGTGTTTAAACATCCACCAAGTGCCAGGCACTTTGCAAGGTGATTTCACATAAAGTATCTCATAGGATCAAATTTTCCCAATAACCTGGGGAGGAATTATTTTTTCCAAAACAGATGAAATGTTCTGATTCAAAGAGAGAGAGAGAAAAAAAGTACTTTCCCAAAGTCACACAGCTAGTAAGTCACAAAGACAAGACTCAAAACCAGGTCTCTTGACTCCAAAGTCCGTCTGTTTTACTGTATCACACTCCTGCTGGCCTGGCTCAAAGCACCACAGATCCTCTTATGGTCTGAACAGGAGGAGCACGGGTTTGTCCATGTGTTTGAGTAGAAATCAGGGTTCTGGCTTCCAGGCTGAAGGTGAGGGGAAAGCCACTTCTAACTCCTTTGGGCGTCCATGATCACAGCCAAAGGAGCCCCTTCTCAATACATCCAAGTGCTAAGGATTCCTGCTTCATTCACCCTACTACTCAGGCCCAAGGAGCAAGGGGTAGGATGGCATCTAACCAGAGCAAAGCCATTTATTTGAGGGCTCAAGCCATAAACAAATATGCTCCCCTCAACATATTCTGCTTGAAAAAGTTGTTTCGGGGCAGCTGTGGTGGTGCACGCCTGTAATCCCAGCCCTTTGGGAGTCAGAGGCAGTCAGTCGCTTGAGCCCAGGAGTCCGAGACTAGCCTGGGCAACATGGTGAAACCTCATCTCTACAAAAAATACAAAAATTAGCCAAGTGTGGTGGTGCATGCCTGTATTCCCAGCTACTTGGGAGGCTGAGGTAGGAGGATGGCTTGAGCCGGGGAGGCAGAGGTTGCAGTGAGCTGAGGTTGCGCCACTGCACTCCATCTGGGGTGACAGAGGCAGACCCTGTCTCAAAGCATATTTCAACCCTGAAACTAGACTCTTCTGCCCACAGTGCAGTCTTCTAGGGGTTACCCTCTAGTATATATTCTCTTGCTAAACGAAGGCATGGAGATGGAGGAAAGAGTGGGAGATGGAGTGGTGAGGGCGAGACAAATAAAAGGATTTGAGTGTCTCGTTTTTGACTAATGAAGACAACTCAGTAAACATCCTGTAAGAAGGGTTCCTATGTGCAAGTTGAGGTGCTACTAAGTACATTAAGACACAACTGCTGCTCTGAAGGAGTTAGTAGCTGGTCTCATGTGGGGATCTCACCACGTGGTTATGTATTTTGTTTCTTAGCAGATGCTGCCTTGTTTGGCCGCCGAAGCAATCAAAGCTAATAAATGCTTAAAGAAAAATATCTGACAATAAAAAGGTTTAAATCAAACATGTGTTGAGTTGATTTCAGTTAAGTTTAGAGTTAACAAATACCTTTTCTAAAATTTCCTTTCCCTGACAAAATAGAGTCCTAAGACGGTCGGGCATGGTGGCTTATGCCTGTAACCCCAGCACTTTGGGAGGCCAAGGTGGACGGATCACTTGAGGTTAAGAGTTCAACACCAGCCTGGCCAACATGGAGAAACCCCATCTCTACCAAAAATACAAAAAGCAGCCAGGTATGATGGTGGGCACCCATAAGCCCAGCTACTTAGGAGACTGAGGCAGGAGAATCGCTTGAACCCAGGAGGCGGAGCTTGCAGTGAGCCGAGATTGTCCCACTGCAGTCCAGCCTGGGCGACAGAGCGAGATTCCATCTCAAAAAAAAAAAAAAAAAAAAAAAGTCTTAAGGGGAAGTCTTTTCAAACATTGTGTCATTTGCGTCATCACTTTTAAAGACTGAAGATGGGCTGGCTGTCAACAGACCTTTCTGTGAGTTGAAAAACTTGGGCCGGGCGCGGTGGCTCACGCCTGTAATCCCAGCACTTTGGGAGGCCGAGGCGGGCGGATCACAAGGTCAGGAGATCGAGACCATGGTGAAACCCTGTCTCTACTAAAAATAGAAAAAATTAGCCGGGCGCAGTGGTGGGCGCCTGTAGTCCCAGCTACTTGGGAGGCTGAGGCAGGAGAATGGCGTGAACCCGGGAGGCGGAGCTTGCAGTGAGCCGAGATTGCGCCACTGCACTCCAGCCTGGGAGAGGAAGCCAGACTCCGTCTCAAAAAAAAAAAAAAAAAAAAAAAAAAAAAGAAAAACTTGTTAACTTGCTCAGATATGACAAAAGAAATCCCATTTCACAGCCTATAGTTAGAACACAAGAGGCACTGACACACCAAGGATGGGGACTGTTGGAGAACTTAGAATGAGCCCTAAAACACCAGTAATGATGTTCACCATAAATGAAGCTCCTACTGTGTGCCAGGCAGAGAATAGACCCTTTATAACCACCAGCAACTTTAATCCTTATAACTCCTATCCATAGGAGCCATCATTATCCTATTTTATGGATCAGGAAACAGGTTCAGGAAGGTAACTTGTCCTTGAGTGATGCCATGAACATTTGTCATTCTTTTGGTGACTGTTGTCATGTTTGGGAAAAGGCCAGACTACCTCCTGCTATGAAAGCTGAAGAGCCCAGATACTTCTTTTCCCAGAATCCCTTGCAGCAAGGGTGAGGGACATGACCCGGACTCCTGCTAATCAGATTGACAGACACTCCTGCCATGGACTTTGCATCTAAAAGTTGGTAACATAAAGGGGCAGGAACTGTGCAGAATCTGCCCTGGTGGCATGTATATGGCACCCTCCCTTTCAAGAGGCAGCTATATCAGGGATTCTAGTAGCAGTACATTACTGAGTGTCCATAGGGTTGGCTATGTGAGTGATGCCCACAGCAACAGAAATGGTGCCTGCATCAGACGAGCTCTTTAGTGTGATTTAGACACACCTGCAGCATACCTCTGAGCCTAGCTCAGGTCTTCTGGAGATTCCACAACTACCTGAGCCCCTTATATCAGCAGAATCACTTCATGCTGTGTGTAGCTGAGAACTGAACAGCTGTAGGGAATTTGCTTATGGTCACCCACATGGGAAGTGGCTTGCACTAGAACCCAGGACTCCAAAGCTCTTGTTTTTTTCCCTACAGATGCTTCTAGATGAGGCTGAGTCATCCAAGGATTCTACAAAGTGCTGTGGAATCTTGGAGAAAGGAGAGTTGTCTCCAACTGCAAGTATCCCAGAGACTCTGTGACTTCATGCATGTTAATGAAGGGGTATTGGCTGGGTGCAGTGGCTCACACCTGTAATCCCAGCACTTTGGGAGGCCGAGGTGGGCAGATCACTTGAGGTCAGAAGTTTGAGACCAGCCTGGCCAATATGGTGAAACCCCATCTCTACTAAACATACAAAAATTAGCCAGGTGTGGTGGCGTATGCGTGTAGTACCAGCTACTCGGGAGACTGAGGCAGGAGAATGGCTTGAACCCGGGAGGCAGAGGTTGCAGTGAGCCGAGATCATGCCATTGCACTCCAGCCTGGGCAACAGAGTGACTCTCCATCTAAAAAAAAAAAAAGGTGGGGGGAGGGGGAGTATTTAAAAAGAATCTGAGAGAATGGTTAGGATGCTTCTAAGTGTGTGTGTGTGTGTGTTTAAGTGCAGTACACACACACAGACACACAAACACAGCTTGAAAAAATCTGCAGCTCAAAATATTTTCACAAACTGACAACATCCACATAACCAGCATGAAGATAAAGAAATAAAATATCAGCACCCCAGATATCTTCCTTTTCCTCCTACTCTGTTCACCTCTGACAAGTGTAAACACTGTCTTGACTTTCACCATTGCTAGAACGACCCTGTCTGCAGGTCGAATGACACAATGTCAACTCTTCTGTTTCTGGTTTCTTTCTTACAACATTGTATTCATAATATTTATTCCTGTTGTCAATGTAGTTGAAGCTAATTCATTCTCCTTGCAGTAGTGTTTCATTTTGTGACTATGACTATGTTTTATGTATCCATTCTGCTGTCTGATGTATATAAAAGTTATTTCTAGTGTGGGTCTGTAATGATAGTGCCACTATGAACATTTTGGTGACCGTCCAGTGGTTCTACTATGAACATTTTGATGATTGTATATATGTTTCTGTTGGGAATATTTCCAGTAGAGTAATTGCTAGGCCATAAGATATGTGTATATACAGCCTCAGACAACAGAGCCAAACAGTTCTCCAAAGAGTTGTACCAATTTCCATTCCTACTAGCAACGTAGGAGAATTCCAGTTGCTCCCTATCTTTCACTAACACTAGGATATCTCCAGCATCTTTAATTTTAGTCATCCTGATATGTATGCCATGGTCTCTCATTGTGGCTTCAATTTGTATTCCCTGATGATTCATGGAATTGATCACTTTTTCATATGTTGTTGGCCAATTGAATTTCATCTTTTAAGAAGTTACTTTTCAGTCTATTTTTTGGTTTTACTTTTTTTTAATACAAAGTCTTGTTGTGTTGCTCAGGATGGCCTTGAACTCCTGACCTCAAGCAATCCTCCTGCCTCAGCCTCCCAAGTCGCTGGGATTACAGACATGAACCACTGTGATCAGCTCAGTTCATATATTTGTATTTGGTTATCTTCCATTTTTGTCATTATTTGTAGGTATTTTTCCTTTTTTTTTTTTAGACAGAGTCTCACTCTGTCGCCCAGGTTGGAGTGCAGTGGCATGACCTCGGCTCACTGCAACCTCTGCCTCCCGAGTTCCAGCGATTCTCCTGCCTCAGCCTCCCAAGTAGCTGGGACCATAGGCCTGCGCCACCACACCCAGCTAATTTTTTGTATTTTTAGTAGAGACAGGTTTCACCATGTTAGCCAGGATGGTCTCAATCTCCTGACCTCATGATCCACCCGCCTCAGCCTCCCAAAGTGCTGGGATTACAGGCTTGAGCCACCGCGCCCAGCCGATCTTGATTTCTTGACCTTGCGATTTGCCTGCCTCAGCCTCCTAAAGTGCTGGGATTATAGGTGTGAGCAACCATGCTGGCCACATTCTGGATATATTAATAAGTCCTTTGTTGTCCTATGGCTTGCCTTTTTAAGTTCCTTTTTTTTTGAGACAGTCTCCCTTTGTAGCCCAGGCTGGAGTGCAGTGGTGTGATCTTGGTTCACTGCGGCCTCCACTTCCTGGGTTCAAGCAATTCTCCTGCCTCAGCCTCCCAAGTAGCTGGGATAACAGGCATGTACCACCACACCCAGCTAATTTTTGTATTTTTAGTAGAGACGGGTTTTCGCCATGTTGGCCAGGATGGTCTCAAACTCCTGACCTCAAGTGATCCACCTGCTTTGGCCTCCCAAAGTGCTTGGATTACAGGCATGAGCCATCTCTGGCTTGCCTTAAAAAAAAAAAAAAAAAGGCAGCTCTATTGAGATAGAATTTATTTATAAAGTTCACCTTTGTAAAGGGCCCAATTTAGTGGTTTTAATATATTCACAGACTTGTACAGCCATCACCACTATCAAATTTATCATCCCCAAAAGAAACTCCAGTGCCCGTTAGCAGTCACTTCCCACTGCCCTCTCTCCCCAGCCCCTGGCAACCACTACTCTACTTTTTGTCTCTATGGATTTGCCTATTCTGGATATTTCATGTAAATGGAATCACACTATGTGGTCTTTTGTGACTGGCTTCTCCTGGTTAACATAAATTTTCAAGGTTCATCTATGTTGTAGCATGCATCAGTATTTCATTCCTGAATAATATTCCATTATATAGATATACCACATTTTGTTTGTCCATTCATCAGGTGAAGAACAACTGGGTTATTCCCACTGTTGGGCTATTATAAATAACGGTGCTGTAAGGCTGGGTGCGGTAGTTCATGCCTGTAATCCCAGCACTTTGGGAGGCCAGGCGGATCACAAGGTCAGGAGTTCGAGACCAGCCTGGCCAATATGGTGAAACCCTGTCTCTCCTAAAAATACAAAAATTAGCTGGACATGGTGGCCCATGCCTGTAATCCCAGCTACTCAGGAGGCTGAGGCAGGAAAATTGCTTGAACCCACAAGGCAGAGGTTGCAATGAGCTGAGATTGTGCCACTGCACTCTAACCTGGGTGACAAAGCGAGACTCCATCTCAAAAATAAACAAATAAATAATAATAATAATAACGGTGCTGTGAACATTATGTACAAGTTTTTGTGCAGACATAGGCTCTAATTCTCTTGGGCATATACCTTAGGAGAGGAATTGCTGCATAATATGATAACTCTATGTTTAACCTTTTGAGGAAATGCCAAACTGTTTTCTGAAGTGGCTCCAGCATTTAATATCCTCACCAGTAGTGTGTGAGGGTTCTGATTTCTCCACTTCCTCATTAACACTTGTTATTGTCCATCTTTTTTATTGTCGCCATCCTAATGAGCAAGAAATGGTACCTCATTGTAGTCT